ACCGTGGGGCTAAGCAACACCATGTCGTCTGCGTAGCTTATGCTGTTTATACTGACGCCATCAATCCGACACCCAACACGCATGCTACTCAGCCTCACGATGAGATCGTTTACATATAAGTTGAAGAGCCCAGGAGACGTCAATCCCCCCTGTCTCACCCCGCACTCCAACACATACGATTCCGAAAGAGAGTCTGCCCATCTTACAAGGTTGGTCTGATTGGCATACCAATACTTTAATATATTTAGAACTCCAACTGGTACACCCCTATCACCAAGCTTCCTCCAAAGCAAGTCATATGACACAAGGTCAAAAGCCTTAGAGAGGTCGAGGAAACAGGCATACACCGCGGTTCCGCGATCAGTGACACTTACGATGGCGCTTCGTTAGTCCGGATCGAAACCCGAACTGGGCATCGTGGACATTTAAATGACTTTACAAGCAAGAGTCGAGTAGACCATCCAGTACCTTAGCAATGGTTGTTGCTAGTGAGATGGGGCGGTAGTTCCCCATGTCCGAGACATCTCCTGTCCTGCTCTTCACAATTGGCACCACTACGGTTTTCATTAGGTCATGTGGCAAGTGTGAACGAATTATGCATAGTGTAAAAAACATAGACAGTACCCTCGGCAAGTGAACCCCCCGCATGTCTCAGGTGTTCAACACTGAGTCCGTCGTGCCCTGAGATTTTCCACCAGTCATCTTCTTTAATATATGCCTAATTTTCTTTGCAGTGATATTTACTGGCGGTCCACCCCCTAAGCAACCGGGCATAGTATTACTAGACGCGGTCGAGGAGCCAAGTGGCGAGCGCACCCTGAAATGATCTCTAAACGTGTTAGCTATATCAGTAGGGTCATTAATCCCGCCCACACTCACTGGGAGACCAGGCCTAACCTCTTGCCTTTCTGTAGCTTGCCAAAATTTGTGAAATTTTTTTGCTGATCTATGTTTAGCCAAAATATCCATTTTTAATTGTTCCTGATTATTCTGGCCCCATTTCAGGTGACTTTTAAAAATCTTGCGCGTCTCGTACATTTCTTCGTAAAAAATGCCCGAGGTAGGTCGATTAAATAGAACCCAAATTTTGAACTTAAGCCTGGCCTCCGCATGAGCTGCACGAACATGCTTGTTCCAGCCACAGATGTTTTCTCTGATCATATTTACAGCAGCGCTCCCCACAAGTCTCCTTAGCCGCGCGACACAATATTTGTACAATATTTTCATTCAGGTTACATGAACCATGACTGCACTCGGTAAACTCACTGGGGAAATCTATATTCCGAAGCCTTTTGTTACATAAATCATGGTAATTACGAGTATTTAATTGAGATTAACTTCTGTCATTCCATATAATTGAGCTACGGGGTATGCTTGACAACACTACTTTGGGCCTTACTACATTTAAATTGCATTAAATGAGTAGCGGTAAATGGTATGACACAAAAACATCCTCTATGATACTCACATTAACAAGGGATTGCGCAGCTGACATTGACACAACGCAATGATCAAGCCACCGTCTGCATCCGTGGACCTCACTCACGAACGTGTAAGTATCGGACTGCAATCCTAGCTTTTTTACGTCGGCACAAACCCATGACTGATCAGAGCAGAAACTGTTTAGTTCTTTAAAGAACATCTCATTAGGATGAGCATTAAAATCACCTAATACAAATATACTTTCAACATCTCCGCTCGCGACAATTGCACTTATTTCACCTAACACCTCAGTAAAAATTGGCAAGTTATCTAGAGAGTCGGTTGGCATATACAACGTAAAAACAATAATAGAGCGATCTTCTAATGTAGCCCGGATTGCAGCCAGCCGGGTACTTTTACATTCTAAGACTATAACCTTATCAAAAATACTCTTCCTCCATAAAATAGCTACTCCCCCGTAAGGTCTCCCAACTAATAAACCCGCAGTCGTGTTCACAGCAGACTTACCACTATATTCAAAATTTACAAGCTTGAATGCAATCCACCACTGAAATATAGTAATCACACATGCCTACAGGAGTACTTAGATCTAGATCACATGAAACCTTGTAATGGCCCTTCACCAAAATTTGGTAGGTCCTCTTATATTTCGCAACACCGCGTGGTGAAGGAATCTAGCGAAACATCAAAAATGCAAGTAGTCTATGATGCAGAATGTAAGATAAACAACGGTAGCTCCCTGAACGATGTTTTATTTACAGGAACCAAACTTTATCTGGATATAATCGACGTTCTATTAAAGTTTAGAATTCATTATATCGCCTTCACAGCTGACAATAAACAGATTGTACCGCAAAAATTTATTCCGTGACACAGGTAGAGATTTTCGGCGTATCTTATTGCGCACTTCTCCTGCCAAAGCTATACGCGATTATCGTCTTCGTACTGTTACTTTCGGAGTTAGTTCCTTGCCTTACCTCGCAATTCGTACAACGAAACAGCTTGAGCTTTATGAAGCCACTCGTTTTCCCCGTGCTTCAAAAGTCATAAAATGTGACAGTTTTGTGGATGACATAGTATCAGATACGGATGCAGAAGCTCTTGCTCTACAACGCGATTTAATAAGCATATGTCAGGCTGCCGGCTTCACTCTTCACAAGTGGCACAGTAACTCTCCTGCATTACTCGCTGCGGTTTATCTCACAAGTTATGACATATGTTTTGCGGAGATGAAAAATGATGTGAAAACTCAAATACTTGGTCTTTAGTGATACGCTAATTAATTATTAGGAATTAATTAACTTTCAGTGTTCAAATTGCCTTTAACAAATATCCCAAGCGCTCCATTCTATCAAAAATTGCTAGAATTTATGACCCACTTGGCCTTGTATCGCCAGTTACCATTTTTGCTATACAATCAATCTAGTTGCTATGGATGATTGGGATGAACACCCACCCCAAGATATAATAAATTCATGGACCAGTTTTACCAATGAGCTCCCACTCTTATCGAAAGTGATTTTTCCATGTCATGTATTTATGCACACTTATTCTGTACAGCTTCACGGCTTCTTCGATGCATTCGAGAAAGCTTATGCCACATGCGTCTATCTTCGCGTGCATGGACACATGGGTTTAGTGGACACTTACCTTCTTCTAGCTAAAACACGTGTGGAGCCTACTAAACGCATGTCCATACCATGTCCAGCTTTTATTAAACTCGATAATAATAGAGCTTATGGCGGCTCTATTATTATCAAGTTGAATAAAAGCTGCTTTAAATATTTATAGGAATCACATACTTCGCGATCAGATATACTCGATGTACTAGCGTGGTTGCGTTCTTCTCTTATTGAGTGGAAAACCTTTGTTTCCAATCGCGAGATTTTTAGTACCCCTGCCCCGCCGTTACCATGGTCGCCACCGTAGCTAGGAATAGCGGGGCCGTTGGAGATTGGGGTCTGTTCATTTTGTCGTTACTCATGGGGGTATATTGTCATAGTTGCCACGCTTGGCGAGCGGATTGCATATTAATATATGCCAGATTTTGCAAATATTTTATAAATATTAACTCAGTCGGATATCTCGTTAAGAAACAAACGATCACTAAAGATTATATCCATAAAAGGATTTCGCATTTATTGACTAACCTCACAATACTTGTATTTCTAGCGCAATGTTACGGTAAGAAACGTTTTTCATTTACCCGTTGTAGGGAGGATTTACCTAAATTGTCACACATAGCAAACAGATTGACGATCGTAATATCGAACGTCATCCTGTTTGATGCTGTCTGTCACCGATATGAGTATTTTACGTCTGGTGCAAACGAGATGGTTGTTATATATATATATATATATATATATATATATATATATATATATATATATATATATCACATTAGGTATACGTTCCGTTATGGGCAGTAAATAAAACCTCATTTCCTTGCTCTGTCGAATAATAAGCCAGTTTTCCATAACTGACATGTGAAAAAAAAAATTGTGGACATATTAGGCCAGAATCTACATCACACCAGGCCCAGTAAACGCAAAGCAGCTTAAAGGTTACCCAGGTGAGTGTTTGCCAGGTCTTATGTGTACATAATAATGATAATAACTTAATAATTTGACAACAGCGCGATCTATCAAATTTTAGCATCATGTGTGTGAATACGACCTCAATCGTCAGAATGACTGAACCGATTGCAATGAAATTTCACGACCAGTTAAGAGAGCAACGTAAAGAGTATCTAGGTGAAAAATTTGAAGATAATCTAAAAAAAATGAAAAATTCATAAAATAAATAGTCTTTGATTGAATTAAACCAAAATAAAGCCACATTAATAAAACCTCCCAGGACGAATCCGGGGCGGATCGCTAGTTAATTATATAAAATATTACGATTTGATGAACTAGTCACACATGATTTGGTTAGTTATATCATCATCTATTAGAAATTACAACATTTTTTTTTGATTTTTTGCGTATAGGAAAGCGTTCTTGCAAGGATTTATCGTGCGCTGTCGTAGTCGTTAGTGATACGAAATACTACGAATCTACAAAAATATAGAGTTTAACTAAATTAAAAAACTAAACTTTGTGCAAAAAAAATCAATATTTTCATATTTTGATGATGTGAATGAATGAATGATGATGAGATGAAATTTAACTTTGCTCTTTAAAATACGTATGACTATAGAAAAATTACTCCATTAATTTTGCCAATTTTTCCATACATTGTTATTTAAAATGCTTGAACTAAGTGCCATTCTATTTCGCGCGGCTCAGACGCGTGATATACGCGGGCGAAACCGCAGGGCACAACTAGTACTATATAACCTAAATTGTCGAATAGGTATTTTGTTCTCGTTGCTAGAAATAATTTTACAATGAAATTAATTTTATTATAACTGTAGTGTTCGTATGAATCAAGAAATATTTATTTCCATTTCTTTTCTTATATCACAAAAGTTCTTTTCTTTAATTTTATTACTGATGGATATCTTGATATTTATAGATCATTAACCGCTTGAGAGGATATTGTATTTTGTTTTTTAGGTTTACGCCTAGGGAAGCATAAAATATCGGTAGCCAATAATATTTTATGGCCCAGCGTTTTCTTTTAACGTAGATAAATTGATTAAGAGCTAACTGAGTTATAGTATTGTAAAAGAAACCACCCTAATCCCATTTCACCAGATGGGTTTTGTAAGAGCTATGAGAAAGGGCAAAAATAGGTAATTATGTTGATGATAAACGAATGTGGTCTGATTTTGGGAACTTTTGTAACATATTTTTGTGTTTTTTTAATAATTCTAGTAATTTTTTTATTAAGACAAAGCTCATGCTCATATCAAAATACAAATGTCCATGTTACACCTATGCCGGTAGTTGCTGAAAGCACTTACGCTCAAAGTGGTTTACATGTATGTTTACCCTGGATAATTTGTCCAGCTAGGTAAATCCAACTTTAAATAATATGTTAAGCGATGAGTTTATCTCAATTGAGCAACCATCGGGATATTACGACACATATTTTCGTCACGGTTACCTCAAATCTTGAAAACTAAGCTGTGCAACCAGTGCGCGTTGCCAGTGATGACTGATATATTCCTTTGTGGCATTCCTTTCGAGTTTATGTTACACTGAACTTGTGATGGGATTCAATTACGATAATAATGATTACGAATGTACTTTACAATACATTGTGTTTATTTATAACATTTTAGTGATCAGTTATCGTTGTAGCAGTCAAGTAGCTTAAATTGCTTGACTTGATTTTCAAAATATACTTCACTGATTTTACACTACGAACTAAATTCGATCACAATAAGGGATATCCTTCACTCAAGAATAAAACTTTCTATCAGCTTTCCACCAAGAAATAATAATCGGTATCGGATCAGCAGTTTTAGAGATTACCTATCACAAACAGACTTTAATATATACGACTTAACCCCTTTATAATTATTGTAATAGATGTAGATAGTGTAGAAGTATAGATAGAATAAGCAAAATGAAAGTAATAATATTAAATGAGGTACGTAACTTTGCAGCTTTCGATTTGTTCGAGAAGTTGTGAATGAAATAAATCCCGGGAGATAATCCGAACGTGAGAGTATTTAAATCTATTAAGAGTACCCTTTGGCATTATCTGAATTTCTAAATTAAATTAAAATTAATTTCATATAATTTACCTCGTATATTCTCTGAGTATTGTAATAAACATTATCTCTCCCATATATTATAATAAAGAAATAAATAAAAATAAAATAAAAGTCTAAACGACTTTTATTTTATTTTATTTGAACTTTATTTTATATGAACCGAGATGTCCTCTTTTCTCACATTTCGTTTTAAAGCTTGTCAACTGCGTGGTGACACTTTCAAAGCTTAATTTTAATGTAATCAATATGAGGCTGAAATAAGAAATTAGTTAAGTTGTTAAGGTTGGGAGTAATACCGTATAACCGTATTTTAACAGCGTTTACTTTGTCTCTTAATTTTTGAAGATCTACATATTTTAGAAATGAATGTTAGAGATAGGGTTTGAGTGGGGCACAATTTGAAAGGTAATATACCAGGTCCATCACTAAGCCTTTCAAGTCTTATCTCCTGCCTTCGAGCTGATTCTGCAAGGAAACGGAGTACCAGGACAGTCCCGTAACAATTGATTCGCTTTAGGTATTTTCTTAAATTGAGTTTTTGCTATAAGGTCTCGTTATTTTGTATTAATGTGAATTGGGAGATTTGCCTTTATTGTATCGTGTATGTATCGAAGAGCTAATTTGTGACGAGATGCTAATTGCTTCTTTATAAATATTTGTCGTTCCGGGGAATATTCAGCTTCAAGTTTTCGGTTTTTACTGCGAATATTAGTCGAGTCAACATGCATGTCGTTACAGAGGTCGTTAATAGTTTTATAGGTCTCAGTCATTCTGTCAGTGATTTATTACATACTGTTGAAGTAAGTGGGCGGACAGGTCTATATCAAAAAGATCGCGAATGTCAAAATGTCCTTGATTACTTCTATTGGTTTGCATTTTGTTAAACTGTGTATACTATGATTGTGAGCTAAAAGGACATAGGGCATAAGGTTAATAGCGGGTTCATTCCTTTGATTTATCTTTTAAAAACGAAAATGTTGTAATATAATGGCGTAAAATCGTTCAACAATACCATTTTCATTAGGTACATGTGGAGCTTCTCTATGGTGCTGAATTTTATTAAATCTAACGAACTCTGCAATAAGTTAGTTGGTAAACTCAGGCCCATTATCAGAAACTATGGTAATTGGAATTCTTTGATGTGTGCGGAAAATCAGCAAAGCTTGTACTACACTAACAGCATTGCCGTCCCGCAAATAATGAGCTTGAGAATATTTCGAAAAATAATCTACTATTGTCAAATAACTTTCCCTTGAATTGTTAGTAGATCTATGTTGTGGTACAATTTGGCACTTCTGTTTGACAGGATTGCGGTAGTACTTACGACGCAGTATACATACGACTGTACAGTATGTGGACAAGCTGTCCACATACTGTACAGTTGTTAATAAATTTAGTAATGTTTACGGGACAAAACCGAGAAACACTCGTTAATGCCTCGATGGTTTATTTTTCCATCGTGATACTTATGAATGATTTCTTGCTGTCTTAGATACTCCCTAACGTTTTCCAATTAACATTTTGTTAGAAAAAGGTTAAGAGATGAACTTTTAAAAGTCTTTTGTATAATTGGTATGACAGTAAACACTGCAGAAATTGTATTATTGAGTAATCGTCAAAAATCGGAACTTCAAGGATGGGGTGTTTATCTGTATGAACGGTGATGGTTCTAGAATCGTATGCGACTTTGGTAGCTGTTATAGCCTAGAGTCATCTAAAGTGTGTAACGCTTTGGAAGGATTAGGTAAAATGGAAAACAATTCGTCTATTATAGGTCTTAGCTCGTCATTGTGAAGTTCCATGCGCGATAGTGCGTCGGAATTCGTGGTACACTTGCCTTGCTTATATACGACACTAAAATCATACTCTGATTGAGTATGATTTTAATGTCGTCGTGTCGTGTGTGACTTAAGGCGCCATCTGATAAGAAGCAAATAGGGTTCTTTTAAGTTCATGATCCATTATAAAGGTTTAATAATTTACGTCCGAATAAATAGAGACGGAAATACTTAGTCGCCCATACGATAGCTAAAAGTTACTTTTCTATCATGCTAAAGTTACTATCGCTAGAGTTAAGTGTACGAGAAGCATATGCAATGGGTTTGTATGAACCGAATGTCTCCTGTAATAAAACTGCACCAATCGCCATGTTTGAAGTATCGGCTTTCAAAATAAAATCTCTACTGAAGTCAGTATACTGTAGAATTGAGTCATATGTTAAGAGAGTTTTACAGTGTTCAAATCAGTCAATTTTGATCTAATGTTATCTTTGATTCCTTTTTAAGACACTGAGTGAGTAGTTTTGTGAGACATGCGAAGTCTGGTATAAATTTCCTATAGTATCTTAGAAGTCCTAGAAAACCCTTAATTTCCGTTGCAGTTTTTGGCAGTGGGTATTTTTCGATGGCTTTAATTTTATCTGGGTTGGTTTTAACCCCGTTTTTGCAAATAACATGACCTAGAAACTCGGTTTACAGCTTCAAAAACTCTGATTTATCCATATGAATTTTGAAGTTGGAATCCCGCAGCCCTTTGAATACTTTTTCTAAATTAGTCATATATTCTTGTAAGAATGTACTAAAGATAATTATGTCATCTAGATAAACTAAACAAATTTCGTTTTGTAGGTTCTTCAATACGTTATCCATGACCCTCTGGAAGGTTGATGGAATATTTTTCAGGCCCATTAGCATCTTAAGAAATTCATATTGTCTATTCTCTGTACTAAGAGCAGTTTTGTGAATATCCGCGGAATCTATCACTACGTAATAAGGCTAAGACGAGCGTGGTAAAATATTGACATTTGCCCAGTTTATCTGGCACATCTGTTATACTAAGAAATACCCTATATTTGTCATCGACCATCTTTTTGTTTCCACAAAAAGATGGTCGATGACAAATACACTTGTTGAAGTCCACAACAAAACGCCATTTTATTTTGCTGAAAGCGTCCGCCTTTTTGGTTACAATCCAAGTAGGAGAGCTCCAGACAAAATCAGATGGTCTAATTAGATTTTGATCGAGCATCTTATTGATTTGTTCCCGGACTTCTTGTCGATGCACATATGGGTATCTTAACCTATTGTTATGTATGGAAATTTTGTCATGTGTTTTAATCCTATGTTTAATCTTGTTGGTGAATGTTAGGGGTTCATCATCAAGGTAAAACACGTTAGCATATGAGGCGCATAGCCGTTGTAGGTTTGCTAGCTCTTCGGGATTAAGATGAGCGGTGCGAAGAGAGAATAAAACAATTTTAGCGCAATTTGATAACGTTTCGGTAAACTGGCATTCAACAATAAATATTTTGGCTTCTACCGGACGGTCCATTGAAAAACTTACGTCATTTGAGGTGTTATTAGTAATTTGGATCCAACCACGATTATTAATTACATTTTTGAACAGTAAGAAATTACGCAGTTGCAAATTATTTGATTTTTAACTACTACGTCACCATCCTTTTAATTTTTAGGCAGCCTCACTAACTTTGATGACTACGCTGGTATAATGTCCTCATATAAAATTGCGCTAGGTGAGTCATACATTTCGATGGGAATTTTTGCGTTACGTTACGTTAGTGTCATAATTCTAATATCAATATTAGAACTCCATGTTCAAGTAAATCAAAACCAATCATTCCATCGAAGTAATTTACAAATGAACAAAGTTATATTATCTTGTTAATTAAGCTCTAAAAGGTATGGGAGAATTATGAAATAATCATTCTTACTTGTCGCGTGAACACTGGTGACCTCAAATAGGTCATAATTCAGTGGAATGTGGCTAAAATATTTTCTTACGGCTTCGGGACTAATAAACGATTGATTAGTGCTGGTATCTATTAAAAATTTCAATAGGGATTACTTTTCTGTATGTAACCGAGTTGCCTCTGTATGTGGAAATTTATTTCTGT